TTAGTCTGTTTACAAAATAATGTTCAGTATTTGTTTTAAACTGGAACCAATTTGGTTTCTTGTCCTTACACTTTTGTAATAATTTTAGATGTTTTAACAAAACACTGTACATCTTAATATTAGTTAAATGATATAACATATATATCTATGACGTAACAGTAGTTTCCATGCGTGTTGATGATATCCTTCTGAAGATGGTCATTTTGACTGAAACATACAAAGGATGAAACATTAAAAACAACTTTTATCAATCGCACTGGACAGTGGTTACAAATCTTATATGTGTTTATAAAAGTCCTGTGTTTAATCCACATGCAGATGATGAAGAGTCTTCTGTAGGTATACAAAAACTCCAAAGACACAGAGACTCGGCCAATAATGTCAGGTCATGAAACTGTGTAAGACTGATCTTAAGGCAACTTCTTGGAGGTGGTGATAATGATTTGAACCCAAAATGAATATATTAGTCAATGCTGAACATTATGAAGTCTGAATTATAATACTGATGTGTTACTAATCTTCACTTAGAAGGTACACAGACAGACTCCAGGTGTTCCCAAACTTACATTTTTCTTGATGTCAGTAATGTATAACTGTAAGTTGACAACCTCAGTCACACATATTCCAGCCACCTAATCATTTAAGACAGTTTCAGGATGTTTTAGTCTTTGTTAATAGAAATTAACTTGAAATCACATTATTACAAAATTTGTTACATTTGTGTATTTCTTCGTGAAATAGGGATTATAATTTAAAACATGTACACCTACTTGATTAGGTGCATGCAGAATATGTTGTTCAGTTAGTGTGGTTACTTGCAAGGTTGGAATTATGTGGCGAGTTGATTTTAGTTTGTAACATTCTCACTCAGCGCAGTCTGCTTGTGGTAATTGATGGTCATTACTATCTGCCCTTACCATAGGTAATTAATTTTTCAGAAAATGGTTTTCAAACAAAAGGTATGACACACCTATCAATAGAAACTGAAGATTTTGTTTCTTTATTGGTCAGTATCCTGTTGAGAAAGATACAATAAAATAGTTTTACTTTGTGTAGTATTTAAATGTATATCATCTTTAGGAAAATTGATATAAAAATGCTTAAATTTCATGATATGTTTGTATGCACTCAAAGTTTCACTGTAAACTTGAGGTGGCCATGTGCAGTTGGAGCCCAGGCAGGGCCACTGAAGCGTCAGGCCAATAGCTTTTAATGGTTGCAATGGCAGACTTGCCATTTCTTATTAATTTGTACAGATTTCCTAACAGACTCACTACTGTGATGAAGACTTGTTCAAACAACGCTCTGACAAATTGATTTCATTATCTAATGTAATTCATCTGTACTGATCACAGTTCAGTTTAATCAGTACAGCACAATTACTTTATGGTTGTAGTGTGTCAATATTTCTTGTTCACAAATGGAAGTACGGTCATCTACAAGCACCAGTGTTACGTGCAAGATTTGAGATATTCATGGCAGTGATCATGAGGAAGTTGGAAGTGATGCTGTGTAGGTGGGTAGGAGTCCGCCAACATTTTGGAGGAATGTACTGTCACCTTCGTAAGGGTAGACTTCTACTACATACATTCTATCACATCCTAACAAGTCTTCTGAAATGTAATTCTCTGTAATTTGTTTTCACCAACAATGCAGACAAATATAGCAGGGCCAATTAAAAAGTCTTTGCCCCTATTTTTCTTTCAGCCACAATAATACACATACAGGATAATCAAAATACAGGCAGTGTTCTAAGTACCTTTGACTATTTTTCCACATAGTCACCACCCCGGTTCAGGCTTTTGTCCCATCGCACCACTAGTTTGGAGATGCCGCTGTTGTAGAATTCTGCTGGTTGAGCGCAGAACTACTGCCGGACAGCAGTTTTTGTGTTGTAGGAAATGAACCTCTGGCCTGCCAGACACTTCTTCAGTGGACCGAACACATGGTAATCACTGCGGGCGAGGTCTGGACTATATGATGCATGCTCCATAATTTCCCATCCGAATGACTGCAGTCGGGCGGCGGTCCTGTTTGTCACATGAGGCCTGGCGTCATGGAGGAGAACCACAACGTCCATGAGAATCCCTGGGAGTGACTTCAGTCATTCGAATGGGAGATTATGGAGCATGCACCTTATAGTCCAGACCTCACTCCCAGTGATTACCATGTGTTCGGTCCACTGAAGAAGTTCCTGGCAGGCCAAAGGTTCATTTCCAAGGACGTGAAAACTGCTGTCTGCTGGTGGTTCTGCTCTCAACCAGCCGAATTCTACAACAACGGCATCTCCAAACTAGTGGTGCAATGGGACAAATGCCTCAACCGGGGTGGTGACTATGTGGGAAAATAGTCAGAGGTACTTAGAACACTGTCTGTATTTTGATTTCCCTGTATGTGTATTATTGTGGCTGAAAAAAACTGGGGCAAAGACTTTTCGATTGACCTTCATACTTTCTCCATCTTCAGGATGGAAAATTGAAGCTGAAGGCATTGTGTTCCTCTGAAATGTCGTTAAACTTCTACCAATGTACACAGTATCATATCCCGTATCATCAGCCAAATGAAACTGCTGTTTGTGGATGACCTGATTTCATATTGTGACTTCAAACATCTGTGCCTCCACCCAAAGGTGGAGGCACACATTCCACCAAAACATTAGTAACTACCCATCAGACTACAGCGTGGTGTGTTTCACCAGCACCCTGGTATCCGCATGCCAGACTACAACACAATGATATAGCACACGTCCCCACCAAGGAACTCGATTATACAGCTTTCCAGTTTTGTCAGGAAAGTTACCTCAAGGACTTGTAGCTGGGATGGGGGAACACAAATACTTTTCATTTCCTTGCATCCTGTTGTGTTATTATATACAATTCTTTATTGGAGTCCGTCGTAACACAACAACATAATGGTGAAGGTTAAAATTACCTAGCTACATGTTCCAACTTTTTAAAGCCATCATCAGGCAAAGCACATGATTACTGATTGTGTCTGAATATAATAATCATGTGTTTTGCCTGATGATGGCTTTAAAAAGCCAAAACATGTAGCTAGGTAATTTTAACCTTGACCGTTATGTTGTTGTGATATGACGGACTCCAGTAAATAATTGAACACAAATACATAACAATATTTTTGTTGGAACATGCTGGAAAGCATCCACTTGGCAAAGCAAAAGTGGTGGAAGGAAGATATCAAACCAGATCTTGACAAAACTGGGTATAAGACTGTGGATCGTGATGTGTCCACAGGTGGGCTTTGGTATTAGCAATATTCATCCTGGAAGGGTATGCTGAAAAGTAATGCCTCCATAAGACAGTGGTGAAAATGTAGTTCTGTCCTGCCAGTCTTACAGAAGTACAGGTACTCCTTGGTATATGCAAGTTGGAAACATGTTTATTCATTTTAATGCAGTCAATTAATTTAGACCTGTAACACTTGCTTTAGTTTGAACTAATTGCTGGCCCATCAAGAGAGGTCAGAAGAAGGGGGATTAGGATGCTGTTCAGGTGTGGAGGAGGAATGCAAGGGGAGAAGAGAAAGTTCGGCCTACCTGATATCATTTATGTCATTGCACCCCCTGTGACTCCTTTTGGGAATACAACTAATGCATTAATTGACGAATACCTGTACATGAAATATGTAAGCTGTGGCTGGACTGCAGAAGTGGTTGTTTGAGGTAATTGTATAAAATAAGGAACAAAGTTCAAGGAAGGTAGCCATTTCTGTTTCAATGAAATTGCTGTTATGGAAAAGAAATTGGGAGTCATTACTTGCAGCATGCCCTTGTACAGGCTCTGTCACCAGGAGAAGACAGATACACTTCCCAATGAAATATCCCACATTGTGAAATTGGAATCCATATTTAAATATTTGTTGCTCTCCAGTGGCGTCCTGCGTACAGAGGACACTTGCCATTGTATCACGTCACTGCCTGGAACACAGAATTCCTATGGCAGTCATAACTTGTCTCTTAACAGTAATATTATATTAAAAGTGCCAGTTTTTATAACAATTCAGAAAAAAATCCTGTAAGCTCTCAATTCATATATGGATAGTCACATTTTCAATTTCCTGTGGCATGTAACAGATACTGTGTACACCTGAAATAAAATTACTCTGCTTTACCTTTTTAACTACAGTGTAAACCTCACGTTAAACACAAGATCTGAA